AAAAAGCAAGAACTATCCATATACTTTCTATAAGAGACTCATATTAGACCTAAAGACACCTCCAGACTGAAAGTGAGGGGGTGGAGAACTATTTACCATGTTAACGGACCTCAAAAAAAGCTGGGGTACCAACCCTCATATCTTTTAAACAAAGGCTGCTGTAAGAGATGGAGAGGGACATTATATCATACTTAAAGAATCTATCCAACAAGAAGATCTAATAATTATAAATATCTATGCCAATGTGGAAGCAGACAATTATATAAACCAATTAATAACCAAAGTAAAGAAGCATATTGATAATAATACATTAATAGTAGGAAACCTAAACACCCACTCACAGCAATGGACAGATCATGTAAGCAGAAGATCAACAAAGAAATAAAGGCTTAAGTGACACACTGTACCACATGGACTTCACAGATATATTCAGAGCATTTCATCCTAAAGCAACAGAATACCCATTCTTCTCGAGTGCACATGGAACTTTCTCCAGAATAGATCACATACTGGGTCACAAATCAGGTCTCAACTGATACCAAAAAATGAGATTATTCCTTGCATATTTTCAAACCACAATTCTTACAAACTTGAACTTGGTCATAAGAAGAAATTTGGAAGGAACTCTAACATTTGGAGGCTAAAGAGCATCCTGCTAAAGAATGAATGAGTCAATGAGAAAATTAAAGAATAACTTAAACAATTCAGGCAAACTAATGAAAATGAAAACACATCAGTTCAAAACATATGGGATACAGCAAAGGTAGTCCTAAGAGGGAAGTACACAGCAATCCAAGCATCTCTCAAAATATTAATCAAATCCGAAATGCACAAGCTAACCCTACAACTAAAGCACCTGGAGAAAGAACACCAAATAAAGCCTAAACCAAGTAGAAGACAAATAATAAAGATTAGAGCAGAAATCAATGAAATAGAAACCAGAAAAACAGTAGAACAGATCAATGAAACTAGAAGCGGGTTCCTTGAAAGAATTAATACGATCAATAAACCTCTGGCCAAACTTATCCAAAAGAAAAAAGAAAGGACCCAAATTAGTAAAATCATAAGTGAAAGGGGAGAGATCATGACCAATACTAAGGAAATACAGACAATTGCTAGAACATATTATAAGCAACTATATACCAAAAATTAGGCAATCTGGAAGAAATAGATGCAATCCTAGAAACTTATAAACTACCAAGACTGAAACAGGAAGAGGTAGAAAATCTGAACAGACTGATAATGAGCAAGGAAATTGAAACAGTGATCAAAAACTTCCCTAAGAACTGGAGTCCAGGGCCAGATGTCTTCCCATGTGAGTTCTACCAAACATTTAAAGAAGAATTAATACCTATTCTACTGAAGCTGCTTCAAAAAATAGAAATGGAAGGAAAACTTCCAAACTCTTTGTATGAGGCCAGCATCACTTTGATCAGACAAAAACCCCATCAAAAAGGAGAATTACAGACCAATATCCCTGATGAACATGGATGCCAAAAAACTCACCAAGATCCTAGCCATAGGATCCAACAGTACATGAAAAGGATTATTCACCACGACCAGGAGGGATTTATTCCTGGAATGCAAGGGTGTTTCAACATTCGCAAATCAGTCAACGTGATAGAGCACACTAATAAAAGAAAAGACAAGAACCACATGACCTTCTCAACTGATACAGAAAAAGCATTTGACAAAATACAGCATCCTTTCTTGATTAAAACTCTTCAAGGAATAGGGATAGAGGGATCATACCTCGATATCATAAAAGCCATCTATGAAAAGCCCACAGCAAATGTCATTCTCAATGGGGAAAAGCTAAGAGCTTTTCCCTTAAGGTCAGGAACACAACAGGGATGCCCACTCTCACCACTATTGTTCAACATAGTACTAAAAGTCCTAGCCTCAGCAATCAGACAACAAAAATAAATAAAAGGCATTCAAATTGACAAAGAAGTCAGACACTCTCTCATTGCAGATGAGATGATACTTTATGTGGAAAACCCAAAAGACTCCACCCCAAATTACTAGAATTCATACAGCAATTCAGTAATGTGGCAGGATACAAAATCAATGCACAGATCAGCTACATTTCTATACACTAACAAATGCAACTGAAGAAAGAGAAATTAAGGAATCGATCCCATTTACAATTGCACCAAAATCCTCAGAATAAACCTAACCAAAGACGTAAAGGATCCATACTCTAGAAACTACAGAAAACTTATGAAAGAAATTGAGGAAGACATGAAGAGATAGAAAAACATTCCATGCTCATGGATTAGAAGAATAAGCATGGTTAAAATGTTTATCCTGCCCAGAGCAATCTAGACTTCCAATGCAACCCCTATCCAAATAACACTGACATTTTTCACAGAGCTGGAACAAACAATCCTAAAATTTGCATGGAACAAAAAGGGCCCCAAATCACCAGGGGAATGTTGAAAAAGAAAACCAAAGCTGGGGGCATCACAATGCCTAACTTTAAGCTATATACAAGTTGGTACAGCCACTTGGAAAACAGTGTGGAGGTGCCTCAGAAAATTAAAAATAGAGCTACCCTATGACCGAGCAATTGCTACTGGATATTTACCCCAGAGACACAGATGTAGTGAAAAGAAGGGCCATATGCACCCCAATGTTCATAGTAGCAATGTCCATAATAGCCGAACTGTGGAAAGAGCCGAGATGCCCTTCTTTTACATCAACATGGGTGGAACTGGAGAAGATTATGCTAAGTGAAATAAGTCAAGCAGAGAAAGTTAATTATCATATGGTTTCACTTATTTGTTGAACATAAAGAATAGCATGAAGGACATTAGGAGATGGAAGGGGAAAATGAACGGGGGAAAATCGGAGGGAGAGATGAACTATGAGAGACAATTGACTGTGAGAAAAAAACTGAGGGTTTTAGATGGGTGGGGCATGGGGGATGGGTTAGCCTGGTGATGGGTATTAAGGAGGGCATGTACTGCATGGAGCACTGGGTGTTATACGAAAACAATGAATCGTGGATCACCACATCAAAAACTAATGATGTATTGTATGGTGAGTAACATAACATAATAAAACAAAATTTCAAAAAATAAAACCTAAAAAAAATAAAAGTAAATTAAAAAAAAAACAAGAGAAAAATTGTCTTCCTCCTAACATAGGGAAATTACCCCACATACAATTTAAAACATGCCAACCATCTTCCCAAAAGAGGATACAAAGTCCAATGCATCACTTTAAATATCTTGGGATGCCCTTAATCTCTCCTCTGGATAAGTAACACTGAACCTTGGATATCTTGCAAATCAAATACTGAAATATGGTAAATCACTATTAATGCATCTTACGTTAGATGGTAAGGAAATGAGAAGGTAAGAAAAAGAAAGAAATCGGTTAATATACATACAAGTGTCATACAAAATAAGGGACCCTCTTAGAATTCCACCTACCACACTCGATCAATCCAGTCTTCTTTGTGGAACCTCATAACAAACCCATGCATGGAATAGGACTCCAAGATTTGTGCTAGGTACTCAGGTTGCAAAGGGGACATAGTCCATGACCTTAAGATACATGAGACCATGGGATGATGGTCTTTTTTAAAAGAATTTATTTGAGAGAGAGAGAGCAGAAGCAGGGGGAGGGACAGAGGGACAAACGCCCCACTGAGCAGGGATCCCCCCATGCAGGAGTTGATCCCAGACCCTGGGATCATGACCTGAGCCCAAGGCAGACACTTAACGCCTGAGTCACCCAGGCACGCAAGAGATGTCTTCTTATACTGTAAACTCTTATGTAAAACCATTTTGCTGTGAACAGGGCTGCCTCTTTCTCACCAGACAGGGGCTTGGCGTGTATACCCAGAGGACACAAGGCCACGAGCATGGGGCTGCTCTTCCTCACCCAGTGCTTCAAGCTGCTGTCCATGGTCCTGCTTTTCTTTTTCTGTGCAGCACAGTGATTAGCCTTAATGAATAAATTTCAGTTTTTTATTTAGGCCTGGGTCCCAGGCTGCATCCTGATGGCCCTTGAGGAAATCCCTCCATCTTTCTCCTAGAGAATCTAAAAGGTTGTTCATTCTGTGTGGACAGCCCATGACTGGGCCACAGGGCAGGCCAGGGGGAGCCAATGGCCCACGATCCTCCAATGGGTGGGGGTCATTCCAACCACACAGGCTCCCAGGGCAGGGCAGTCGGGGGCAAGGGCAGACCCTCCCAAGGGCCGCCCAGCTCTGCTTCGGGGCTCACGGCGAGACCCGCTGAGGTTGCTGACATGGTTTCCACTGGGTGTGGGGACTCAGTACACAGCGCCCTTCAGATGCACCGCCCTCCAAACATGCAATTTGATGTCAGATTATTTAGAGCCGAGGCATGGATGGAGCCAAAGGAGGACATGATTCTATTGGGAGGCCATCCTGCTGTGTGGACAGGGCAAGCCCAGGGCTGGTCCGCAGGCTACGGGTGGGACAGTCTGCACCCACGCTGCAAGCTCGCCAGGGCACAAGGAGGAGCCCACCAGGGCTGGGGGCACCACAGGGCTCAGCTGAGAGCAGCTTAGACTGCTCTGCCAGGGAGCAGGCAGCAAGCATATCCCTGCAGGAGGCAGAGAGCTAAGAGCATCCTGTGGAGGGGGGTTCCTGTGCTCTCCCTTGGGCCCCTGGGCACCCACCACACCCCACCCCTGCACACTCACGTGGGGCACTCTTGGCCTGGTCCGGAATCCCCCCAGGGCCTCAGACTAAACCACCCAGAAAAGGGAACTTCAGGTAGCAAGCCAAGCCTCTTGGTTTCAATCCTGTTCTTAGTCTTCCCAGGGCTGCCTGGAGGCTAGGAAGCAGGGCTGTGGGCACAGAGCTCAGCCACAAGGAGCCACGTGTGCCTGGGGCCACAGCAGGGAGGAGGTGGGGTGCAGGGGTGAGCATGGCTGCAGGGGAGCGGCTCCCACAGCCCCAACCATGCTGAGTGTGATCTGCATGGAGCAAAGATGAGGGACTGAGGTGGGGATAGCAGAACCAGCTACAAGAGCTGAGGAACACCTGGCCCTCAGGACCCCATGGAGGGACTGGAGCAGGTGAGCCCGCACGGGGGAAGGCAGGCTGCCTGAAGTCCATGGCACCACCCAGGGCAGGGACGAGGGAGGCACAGGAGGGGCTCACCCACACCAACACTGCTGGATGCACCAGATGCTGACAGAGGTGGGCCAGGACCGGGACCTTCAAGGACCATGATGGGCATGGTGGGCAGAAGCCTGAGGGCTGCCCTTCACCACCTGTGCTGGGAGCCGGGGGCTGCACCAGCTTGAGCCACTGCAGGACCAATGCCAACATGGACAGATGGGTCTGAGGTGAGGACACAGAAAGGGGCTGGCTCAGCACAGGGGAGGAGGAGGAGGACACCAGGTGGACTGAGGGTCCTGTCCAGGCCAAGGGAGCCGGCTCAAGCCCCAGGGCAGGGTCAGAGGTGTTGGCCATGAAGCCCTGGGCTGCACCAGATGAGCAGCAGATGAGTGGAGCAGACCAGGCGGGGCTGGTACGGCTCCCATGTGCTCAGGACCCAGACAGCAGGGAGGCTGATCAGGGAGCTCAACATGCTACAGGAGTCCAGGGGATGAGGGTCAGAGGCCAAACCTGGGCTAAAGGGTCTGGGATGGGCAGCAGAGGCAGGGGCAGCCTTGGGACACAAGGAAGTCTGGGGCTGAACTCAGGGACCTGTGGGAGAAGGATCATAGGGCAAGAGGGGCAGGAGGCTGCTGTGATCCATGAGCTCCAAGGACCAGGGCAGAGCAGCTGTGAGTGAGAAGGTACCTGGAGGGCAACACAACCAGGAGGTTGCCCCAGGGTAACAGGGGAGCAGGCAGAGCTTGTGGAGGTGAGCAGGGGCAGGAGGGAGGGCAGCAGGGGTAGGGCTCTGCCCAGGGGCTAGGGGAGCAAGAGGAGATTGAGCAGGTGAACAGGGGCAGGTGGGAGAGCAGGAGGGGAGGAGGGATCCCCAGGGGCTCAGGGGAGCAGGCAGAGCTTCTGCAGGTGAGCAGGGGCAGGTGGGAGAGCAGGAGGGGAGGGGGACTGCCCCAGGTGCTCAGGAGAACAGGCAGAGCTTGTTCAGGTGAGCAGGGGAAGGTGGAGAGCAGTAGAGGAAGGGGAGCTACCCTGGGGGCTCAGGGGAGCAGACAGAGCTTGTGCAGGTGAGCAAGGGCAGGTAGAGAGCAGGAGAGGAAGGGGAGCTGCCCCAGGGGCTCAGGGGAGCAAGCAGAGCTTGTGCAGGTGAGCAGGGGCAGGTGGGAGAGCAGAAGGGGAGGGGGGCTGCCCCAGGGGCTCAGGGGAGCAGACAGAGCTTGAGCAGGTGAGCAGGGGCAGGTGGGAGAGCAGGAGGGTTAGGGGGCTGTGCCAGGGGCTCAGGGGAGCAGGCAGAGCTGGTGCAGGTGAGCAGGGGCAGGTGGGAGAGCAGGAGGAGTAGGGGGCTGCCCCAGGGGCTCAGGGGAGCAGGCAGAGCTTGTGCAGGTAAGCAGGGATAGGTGGGAGAGCAGAAGGGGAGGGAGGCTGCCCCAGGGGCTCAGGGGAGCAGGCAGAGATCTGCAGGTGAGCAGGGGCAAGTGGATAGCAGGAGGGGAAGGAGGCTGCCCCAGGGGCTCAGGGGAGCAGGCAGAGCTTCTGCAGGTGAGCAGGGTCAGGTGAAGAGCAGGACGAGTAGGGGGCTGCCCCAGGGATTCAGGGAGCAGGCAGAACTTGTTCAGGTAAGCAGGGGCAGGTGGGAGAGCAGGAGGGGTAGGGGGCTGCCCCAGGGGCTCAGGGGAGCAGGCAGAGCTTCTGCAGGTGAGCAGGGGCAGGTGGGAGAGCAGGAGGGGAGGGGGGCTGCCCCAGGGGCTCAGGAAAGCAGGCAGAGCTTCTGCAGGTGGGCAGGGGAAGGTGGGAGAGCAGGAAGGGAAGGGGGCTGCCCCAGGGATTCAGGGAGCAGGCAGAGCTTGTGCAGGTGAGCAGGGGAAGGTGGGAGAGCAGAAGGGGAGGGGGGCTGCCCCAGGGGCTCAGGGGAGCAGGCAGAGCTTATGCAGGTGAGCAGAGGCAGGTGGGAGAGCAGGAGGGGAGGAGGACTGCCCCAGGGGCTCAGGGGAACAGGCAGAGCTTCTGCAGGAGAGCAGGGGAAGATGGAGAGCAGGAGAGGAAGGGGAGCTGCCCTGGGGGCTCAGGGGAGCAGACAGAGATTCTGCAGGTGAGCAGGGGCAGGAGGGAGGGCAGCAGGGGTAGAGGTCTGCCCAGGGGCTAGGGGAGCAAGAGGAGATTGAGCAGGTGAACAGGGGCAGGTGGGAGAGCAGAAGGGGAGGGGGCTGCCCCAGGGGCTCAGGGGAGCAGACAGAGCTTGAGCAGGTGAGCAGGGGCAGGTTGAGAGCAGGAGGGGAAGGGGGCTGCCCCAGGGGCTCAGGGGAGCAGGCAGAGCTGGTGCAGGTGAGCAGGGGCAGGTTGAGAGCAGGAGGGGAAGGGGGCTGCCTCAGGGGCTCAGGGGAGCAGGCAGAGCTGGTGCAGGTAAGCAGGGGCAGGGGGAGAGCAGAAGGGGAGGGGGGCTGCCCCAGGGGCTCAGGGGAGCAGGCAGAGATTCTGCAGGTGAGCAGGGGCAGGTTGAGAGCAGGAGGGGAAGGGGGCTGCCTCAGGGGCTCAGGGGAGCAGGCAGAGCTGGTGCAGGTGAGCAGGGGCAGGTGGAGAGCAGAAGGGGAGGGGGGCTGCCCCAGGGGCTCAGGGGAGCAGGCAGAGATTCTGCAGGTGAGCAGGGGCAGGTTGAGAGCAGGAGGGGAAGGGGGCTGCCTCAGGGGCTCAGGGGAGCAGGCAGAGCTGGTGCAGGTGAGCAGGGGCAGGTGGAGAGCAGAAGGGGAGGGGGGCTTCCCCAGGGGCTCAGGGGAACAGGCAGTGCTTGTGCAGGTGAGCAGGGGTAGGTGGGGGAGCAGGAAGGGAAAGGGGCTACCCCAGGGGCTCAGGGGAGCAGGCAGAGATTCTGCAGGTGAGCAGGGGCATGTGGAGAGCAGGAGGTATAGGGGGCTGCCCCAGGGGCTCAGGGGAGCAAGCAGAGCTTGTGCAGGTGAGCAGGGGCAGGTGGAGAGCAGGAGAGGAAGGGGAGCTGTCCCGGGGGCTCAGGGGAGCAGACATAGCTTCTGCAGGTGAACAGGGGCAATTGGAGAGCAGGAGGGGGAGGGGGCTGCCCCGGGGGCTCAGGGGAGCAGACAGAGCTTGTGCAGGTGAGCAGGGGCAGGTGGAGAACCAGACGAGTAGGGGGCTGCCCCAGGGTTCAGGGGAGCTGGCAGAGTTTGTTCAGGTGAGCAGGGGCAGGTGGGAGAGCAGGAGGGGAGGGGGGCTGCCCCAGAGGCTCAGGGGAGCAGGCAGAGCTTCTGCAGGAGAGCTGGGGCCTGGGACACAGGAGGGGCAGGGACAGCCCCAGGAGCTCCGAGGATGAAGGGCAGGACTGAGCTCGCAGGAGCTCGGGACTAGGTTGGAGCTGAGCAGACCTGCAGCCTATAGATACAGCTGAGGGCTCGCGCCCAGGTGAGCGTCCCTGCACATGGGGGACAGGGTGAGAGGCTGGCCCGGGGGTCAATTAGGGTGGAGACTAGAGCCTGGGTGGTAAGGTCTCTGGGGAGGAAGGGTTGGCTGTAGCCACCTTTGAGGGGTGGAGCGGGGGCCTAGGTCTTTGGCCCAGGGGTGCGAGCCATGTTCTGGAGACTCATAGGGACGAGGAACAGAAGAGGTGGACATGCCTCAGCCAGGCGGGGAGGCACGGGGCAGTGGACCCAGTGGAGGAGAGAGCAAGGGGCCCCATCAGAGCTTGAGGCAGAGCTGCCAGCCTGGGGTGTGGGTGGGAGGGGACACCAGACAGGGTCCTCAGCCTTAGCAGAGGGGACCAGGGTCGGAGGGGATAGGCCTGTCTGGGTTTGGGGGGCTGAGATGCCCTGAGGTGCTGGCACCATGCAGGGAGGACAGCTAGGGCAGGGCATGTCTCCCCCCACCATGCTGACGGGCAGACAGGCTCAGGAAAGACGTGGGCTGAAGGAGGACTCTGGGGAGAGCAAGGAGCTGGACAGGCCCCAGAGCAGGGGTGGCCAAGGCCAGGGGCACGGGCTGGGAGGGGCCTTGAGTGAGCTCAGGAAGCATTGCCAGGAAAGCCTGAGGAGGGTCCAGGGCGTTTGGAGCAGGGATAGGGGCCGGGGCTGCTTAGCTGCAGAGCTGACCCAGAATATGTGGGGCCTGGAGGGCAGTTGGCAGGCCTTGTTGAGGGCTCTGGGCTGAGGGGCATGGGCAGTGGGTGGACGTTCCCACTAGTCCAAGGCACAGTCAGGCTGGGACAGCATGGCAGTGGGCTCAGGGGACTAGCAGGAGCCGGCTGGGAGCAGGCGCCACAGGTCAGGACTCAGACAGAGGGCTCAGTCAACTGGACACCCAGAGAAAGCCTGAGTGGGGACCCAAGGTCTGAGTCCCAGGGGACTCTGACCCATGTGGTCACCCATCACTGACCAAGCTCATGAGTCCAGCACCTGTGGCCACAGAGCGCTAAGCCAGGCAGCTGGTCTGCACATGTCCAGGAAGCACATGGGCACTGGGCCCAGGGGCACCCCAGCCTGGGCACCTGCTGTCCTGCCCCAGCCCTGAAGGGGTGAGAGCCTGGTGGTCACACAGCCTCCTCTCTTGCAGCCTCCACCACGGCCCCATCGGTTTTCCCACTGGCCCCCAGCTGCGGGACCACATCTGGCTCCACAGTGGCCCTGGCCTGCCTGGTGTCCAGCTACTTCCCCGAGCCTGTGACTGTGTCCTGGAACTCCGGCTCCTTGACCAGTGGTGTGCACACCTTCCCGTCCGTCCTGCAGTCCTCAGGGCTCTACTCTCTCAGCAGCATGGTGACAGTGCCCTCCAGCAGGTGGCCCAGTGACACCTTCACCTGCACTGTGGCCCACCCGGCCAGTAAGACCAAGGTGGACAAGAAAGGTGAGAGGACGGGCCTCAGAGAGGGTGTCCACCGGGAGACAGGCCAGGTCAGCTGGCCCACCTGGACCCCAGGGCACAGGGGAAGCCCTGCTGTCTCCCCCACATGAAGGTCTCCCAATTCGGGAAGGGGGTCCTCTGGGTGTTGCTGCCTGGTCCACTGTGAGCACAGGCGGCTTACCCCCACTCCAGTCCCTGGTCTGAGAAGCCCCCAAGACCTGGCCCTCACCTACACCCACCCAAACCTGTGCCCACTCCAGATACCCAGTAATGCCCAGTCTGCTCTCTCTACAGTAATGCCCAAACCAAATGGCGTTGGCCCCTGTAAGGAATGTCCCAAATGTCCAGGTGAGTCAGGAGGACCTTGCCCTCCACCCCAAGCAGATGGCCAACATCCAGGCACAGCCGGGTGGGGGGAATGGATGTTCAAGAGGAAGCCCACCCACGTGCTGACACCTGCATTCTGTCTCCCTTACTAGTCCCTGACACGTTGGGAGGACCTTCGGTCTTCATCTTCCCCCCAAAACCCAAGGACACCCTCTCCATTACCGGAACCCCCGAAGTCACATGCGTGGTGGTGGACCTGGAAGACCCTGAGGTCCAGATCAGCTGGTTCGTGGGTGACCAGGAGGTGCACACAGCCAATACGAAGAAGCCTGAGGAGCAGTTCAACAGCACTTACCGTGTGGTCAGTGTCCTCCCCATCGTGCACCAGGACTGGCTCAAGGGGAAGGAGTTCAAGTGCAAGGTCAACAACAAAGCCCTCCCATCCCCCATCCAGAGGACCATCTCCAAGGCCAGAGGTGTGCAGCAGGGTGGGAGATGCGTGGGTGGGGGGTGCATGGAATGTTGAGTGGGGCTTTGCAGACCAAGCGCAGCCCTCCACCCTGTGAGTGACCATCTGTGCTGACCTTTGACCCCACAGGGCAGGCCCATCAGCCCAATGTGTACGTCCTGCCCCCATCCCGGGACGAGATGAACAAGAACACAGTCAGCGTGACCTGCCTGGTCAAAGACTTCTACCCATCTGAGGTTGATGTCGAGTGGCAGAGCAATGGCCAGCAGATGCCAGAAAGCAGTATCCGAACAACCCCACCCCAGCTGGATGCAGATGGGACCTACTTCATCTACAGCAAGCTCTCAGTGGACAAGAACCAATGGCAGCGCGGAGAGGTTGTCACGTGTGTGGTCATGCATGAAGCTCTACACAACCACCACACACAGAAATCCATCTCCCAGTCTCCGGGTAAATGAGCAACACGCCTGGGATCCCAGCAAGCCCCCCACCCATGGGCTCTCAGAGTCCCACAAGGACGCCAGAGTCCCCAGCCCTGTGTACACACCTCCTGGGCAGGCACCCCTGCATGAAATAAAGCACCCAGCACTGCCCTGGGACCCTGCGATGCTGTCATGGTTCTTTCTGAGGCAGAGCTCAGGACCCCCGGACCTCTGGGCGGCACAGACAGGCCAGGCTCCAAGGCCAAGGGATCACCATTGGTGGGAGGGAGCAGGTCCCACGGGGGCCACATCCCCTAGCAGGCAGGTCTGCACTGGCTGCCACAGGATGTGGGCAGGAGTTGCCTGAGCAGGAGAGGGGACTTTGCCAGAGGTGGCAGCCACTCTGGGCCATCCCTCCAGTCAGAAGCTGCCCAGGGCTGGAGGGTATGGACAGGGATTGCAGAAGCCCCTCCAGAGCCCTCAGGGAAATGAGCACACAGTCCTACCCACCTCTGTACCAGCCCAAGTTGTGGGACACTGGCCTGTCCTCCGCCCTGGGCTCCCTGGGCCTCCTGAGACTCTGCGTGGTAGCTCTGTGCCCACGCAAGAGCCATGCCTGACCCATGTGTGGGGACAGGCCCTCCTTTGCCCTCAGGCACTCCACGAACAGGCCCCCGCCCTCCCTCAAATGCAGGGGCCTTGCCTGGCTTCATCCTGCCTGGGGCCAGGCCGGTCCACTCCTGAGGACACTCACCCTGTGCCCCAAAGGGGCAGAGGCAGGTGGCCCTGGGTGCCCAGGGGAGGGACCATCCCAGATGCCACTTGGGGCTGAGTCCAGACCCACTGAAAACAAGCCTGTCCCGCTGAGCAGTGCCACCTTCTCTCACACACTCACACTCACACTCACACACATGCTTATATATGCACATACATGCATACACACGTGTGTGTGCCCACAGTTACATGCATGTACATGCACGTGTACATACACACACAGGCCTTAAATGATGGGCCTCACCCGGACAGCCTCCATGAGCCCAGACCAGAGCGGGTCTGGGGACCCTCACCCTGCACACCAGCCTGGTCCCCACCACCCCCCAACACCCATCAGCTGCTCAGCAGCTCATCCACACACTGACCACACTAAGCAGCCCTCCTCTGCCCCAGGGCATCTGCACCCCCTCCCAATATCCACGAAACCCCCACACCCAGCTTGTCCTGACGCTCCCACACACTCATATTCTAGGACACTCCCCGACACTGACCAGCCCTTCCCTGGACTCTGCTGACCCTCCCACCCTCTGGACCTGGCCCCCAGGGGAAGAGGATGTGTGTCGGTCAGGGCGCCTTCCCCCATGAGGGTTCCAGCACAGGACAGAACAGAGAGGGAGGGGTCCCCCTGGCCAGGCCCAAGCTGGAGAGCTGGGGGTGCTGAGGCTGGCACCTGAGGTTGCAGAAGGCTGTGACTGTCCCCCAGGGAATGACCCCGATGGGCAGGCATGGCACTGATCACCCCCTTCCTGTCCAGAGCTGCTCCTGGACGACAGCTGTGCCGAGGACCAGGATGGGGAGCTGGACGGGCTGTGGACCACCATCTCCATCTTCATCACCCTCTTCCTGCTCAGCGTGTGCTACAGCGCCACTGTGACCCTCTTCAAGGTGGGCATCCCCACACGTACCCTCACTGCGGCCCGCTGTCTCTATGGTGTCCCCACGCTGTCCCCATGGTGTCCCTACACTGTCCCATCGCTGTCCCCATGCTGTCCCCACATTGTCCCCACACTGTCCTCAACCATCCCTTCGCTACAGCCCACTGTCCCAACACTTTCCCCACACTGACCCCATGCTGTCCCCACGCTGTCCTCACGTTGTCGCCATACTGTCCAAACACCATCACCTCACTGTAGCTAGCTTTCTTCATGCAGTCCCCACACCATCAACTCACTACGGCCCACTGTCCCCACACTGACCCCATGCTGTCCCCACACTGACCCTAAACTGTCCCCATGTCGACCCCACACTGACCCCACGTTGACTCAAAACTCCCCACGCTGTCCCCATACTGTTGCCTCACTGACCCAAGGCCATTCCCACATTGTCCCCATACTGATATCTAGCTGTCTGCACACTGTCCCCATGCTGAACCCACTCTGTCCCCACACTGACGCCATGCCACACTGTCCATATGCTACCCCCATGCTGTCTCCACATAATCCTCTACCTGACCCCACACTGTCCCCTGACTGTCTACATGCTGTTCCTTTGCATCCCCACATTGTCCCCACGCTGTCCCCACACTGTCTCCTCCCTGTCCCCATGCTGACTCCATGCTGTCCCCATGCTGTACTTATACCGTACTCTCACTGCAGCCTGTTGTCCCCATGCTCTCCCCACCTTGACCACATGCTGTCCCCACACTATCCCCTCGCTGACCCAAAACTGTCCCCACACTGACCCAACGCTGTCTCCACACTGTCCCATGCAGTACTCACACTGTACCCACACTATGGCCCACTGTCCCTACGCTGTCCCCATGCTCACCCCACACTGTCCCTACACTGCCCCACACTATGCCCTGTTGTCCCCACACTGTCCACACACTCCCTCTTTGCTTTCCCCATATTGTGCCCACTCTGTCCCCATGATGTCCCCACACTGACCACTGTCCCCACACTATGGCCCGCTGTCCCCACGCTGTCCCCATACTGTCCGCCCTGTGTCCCCACACTGTCCCCTCTGTGTTCCTTCACTGACTACTCACTGCCCCTTCGCTGTCCCCTTGCTGTCCGCATGCCATCCCCACCAGGACCCCCGCACACTACAGTGGTCCCGGGTGTGGGGGGCAGGCCCTGGCGGGAGGTGTCCTTCAGACTCCAGGCCACGCTCACTCCCTTGCCCGCCTGCTGCAGGTGAAGTGGATCTTCTCCTCGGTGGTGGAGCTGAAGCGCACGATCGTGCCCGACTATAGGAACATGATCGGGCAGGGGGCCTAGGGCCAGCCCTCTTGGGCGGGTGTCCAGGGCTGCCCTCGACCCCACATAGGAACCGGGTTAATCCGTTCATGCCGCTCGGCTTGCTGCCAGGCCCGCTCTCTGCCCTCCCACCTTGCCACCCTCTGACCTCACAGCCACCCTGGGCCTGCACCTCCACCCTCTGGGCTCGTGGACACCGTGGGCTGCATCTTGCCCCTGAACCCCCGTTTGGAGACTCAACATGACAGCAGGCCGTGCCCCCGACCTGAGCTGACGGACACCTGCTGACCCCTCCTCAGTAGCCACCAAGATACTGCTGGGGCCGTGTGGATACTGAGGCATCAGGGCAAGATGGCCCTCCCCAGGACAGCCCCGGGGTCGGAGTACATGGTCATCCTGGAAGAGGTTGAGGGCTCATGATCCCAGTGTCTATCTGGGCAGGGCCTGGCCTCTGTGCAAACCCCTTCCAGGCCAAGCTCCAGAAGGCAGGACATCCCAAGAGCAGGCTCGTTGTCTCAGATCCTGAGGAAGCCGCGGGCCTCTGTCACCCCACAGAGAAGCTTCCGACATGCCACGAATGGTCAGTCAGACCTTCTCCATGGGAGGAGACCACGCAGAGAAGGGCCCAGGCCTGTGGCCACTGCAGGAGCCCACCAGGGGCAGGGGGGCACCATCTGGGGAAGAAGTGATGGCAGCCAGACTGGCCTCCTGCAGAGGGGCCTGGTGACCTGGTCCCCAGGTGGGTGGGATGCAGCCTCAGTGGACAAAGGACAAAGGGACAAAGGACAAAGGGAGCCGAGAGGCCAGGACAACAGGCCCAGCCTGCACCATCCTGTGCCCAGGACCCGAGTCATGCTGGGCAGGAATGCCTCCTTGCTCCTGGGAGCTGGGGGCAGAGACAAGATGACCAGAGAGAGCCCCCAGGCATTGGGGCCTGAGACAAGTGGACTCCTAGAACTGGTTCTCCACCAGTCTTTGAGCAAATGCCAGGTCAGATCCCCTACATGGGAGAGACGGCCAGGCAGGGGAGGAGAAGTAGAGCCCCAGTGCCACTGGGAGAGAATGCACACCCATCATTCAAAGGAAACCCACTGTTGTAGCTTGGGTAGCTTGTATCTTGTGAAATTTCTGGAGCACAATAATGTCCTTTACTGTTTCTTCTCGTTTTCTTCGATGACAATAAACTATCCTGAAAAGTTCCAAACTTGCTGGGGAAAGTCTTCCTCTGTTGATGTGCCTGGTGAAATCCCAGCCTGGCCACGCCATGCATTGGCTCACTCCTGCCATGGGGGACCAGGACCCCACAGCCCTGGGGCTCCCAGTAGGTGAGGAAGGCAGCCAGAAACAGTGCAGGGCCAGGGGTCACCTGGGGCTGGGTGCAGGAGGGGCTGCCAGCCCTGGCCATGGCTAGAAGCAAGAGGCATGTGTAGGATGTGTATTAGCATGGGCAGCCAGACAAAAGGGCCACAGTCCAGGGGCTTCAACCACATGTGTTTCTGTTTTCACAACCCTGGAAGCTAGCAGGGAGAGATGCAGGCCTCACAGGGTGGGTGACTCCTGGGGCTTTTGCCCCTGTCCCCACGTGGCCAGCCCTCTGTGTGTGTCTGTGTCCTGATTGTCTGCTCTTACAAGAAGAGGCCATACTGAGGACCAGGCTTACTGGATTACATTAATGACCTCCTTTTACCTTATCACCTCTCCAAACACTCCATCTCCAAATACCGTCACATTCTGAGGTCCTGTGGTCAGGGCTTTAAGACGTGAGTCTGGGGAACACAATTTAGGATGGCTGTGGGACAGAAAGCAGGTGTCCAGGACAACATTTCAGCCCTCAGGGACCCTGGGGGCTGCAGGCTACCATCCTCAGGATCACTTCACACCCTCCATCCCCTTCACCCTACACATCTACCTAGAAGCCAATGAGCCAATGGGCCATTCAGCCTGCCCAGGCCCCTCTTCCTCTCAGTCCCAGGGCTACCCCCAGTCCCATCGCCTGGACCAATGATCAGCCCCCATCCCACCCACCCACCCCACATGGGAATGCCAAGAGCTCCCACAACAGGGGGACCCCATGCCCTCCTTGTGGAGCACCAGGCACTGGCACAACTATGCCATCACCCTCCGGGCTAGAATGCCTGCTCTCTGAGAACTACCTCCCACCAGGCCCTAAGACTCCCACCTGCGACCCTCCAATATTGTCCTACCACATGGAACCAAGAGAAGACAGATGAGAGCTAAAACATAGAGACCCAGAGTAACAGAATTAGGAGGAGACAGGTGGAAGGTGAGAGATAGAGATCCAGATTAACAGAACCAGGAGGAGACAGACACAGGAGGAGACAGGAGGAGACAGAACACAAGTAAGAGATAGAGACCCACAGTAACAGAACTTAGAGGAGAAGAAGACAGGTAAGAGATAAAGACCCACAGTGACAGAACCAAGAGGATACAGATGACAGGTAAGAGATAGAGACCCAAGGTTACAGAACCTACAGGAGAAAAAAACACAAGTAAGAGTGAGACCCACAGTAACATAACCAAGACAAGAGAGATTGGAGGTAAGAGATAGAGACCCACATTAACAGAACCAAGAACAACCAGAAGACAGGTAAGAATAGAAACCCACAGTAACAGAACCTAGAGAAGAAAGAACACAGGAAAGAGATAGAGACCCACAGTAACAGGTCCAGGAGGAGACATAAGACAGGTAGGAAATAAAGACCCACAGTCACAGAACCCAGAGGAGACAGATGAGAGGTAAGAGATGGAGACCCACAGTAACAGAACCTAGAGGAGACAGATGGAAGGTAAGAGATACAGACCCAGAGTAAAAAAACCTAGAAGTGACCAAAGACAAGTAAGAGATAGAGACCTACAGTAGCAGAACCAATAGGAGACAGATTTCAGATAAGAGACAGAGACCCACAGTAACAGAAACTAGAGGAGACAGGTTGGAGATAGGAGATAAAGACCCATTGTAACAAAACCTAGAGGAAACAGAAGACAGGTAAGAGAGAGAGACCCACAATAACAGAATATAGAGGAGAAAGATGACAGGTAAGAGATGGAGACCCACAGTAACACAACCTAGAGGAGAGAGATGGAAGGTAAGAGATACAGACCCAGAGTAAAAAAAAACCTAGAAGTGACAGAAGACAGGTAAGATATAGAGACCCACAGTAATATAACCAATAGGAGACAGATTTCAAATAAGAGACATAGACCCATAATAAAAGAACCTGGAGGTGAAGAAGACAGCTAAGAGATAGAGACCCACAGTAAACGAACCAAGAGGAGAGAAATGGGCAGTAAGGGATAAAGACCCACAGTAACTGTACCTAGATGAGAAAAGACAAGTAAGAAATAGAGACCCACCATCTCAGTACCTAGAGAAGACAGAACACAGGAAAGAGATAGACACCCACAATAACAGATCCAAGAGGAGACAGAAGACAGGTAGGTGATAAACACCCCCAGTAACAGAACCTAGAGGAGACAGATGGCAGGTAAGAGATAGAGACCCAGAGTAACAGGACTAAGAGGAGAGAGATGTGAGGTAAGAGTTAGAGACTCAAAGTAACAGAACTTAGAGGACACAGAACACAGGTAAGGGATAGAGACCCACAGTAAAAGAAACAAGAGGTGACAGAAGACAGGTAAGAGGGCGCCTGGGTGGCTCAGTTGGTTAAGCGACTGCCTTCGGTTCAGGTCATGATCCTGGAGTCCCGGGATCGAGTCCCACATCGGGCTCCCTGCTCGGCAGGGGGCCTGCTTCTCCCTCTGACCCTCCCCCCTCTCATGTGCTCTCTGTCTCTCTCATTCTCTCTGTCTCAAATAAATAAATAAATCTTTAAAAAAAAAAAAAAGAAGATAGGGTGCCTGTGTGGCTCAGTTGGTTAAGCGACTGCCTTTGGCTCAGGTCATGATCCTGGAGTCTCGGGATCGAGTCCCGCATCGGGCTCCCTGCTCGGCAGGGAGCCTGCTTCTCCCTCTGACCCTCCCCCCTCTCATGTGCTCTCTGTCTCTCTCATTCTCTCTGTCTCAAATAAATAAATAAAATCTTTAAAAAAAAAAAAAAAGAAGACAGATAAGAGATAGAGACCCACAGTAGAAGAGGGGGGCAAGATGGTAGAGGAGTAGGGGACTACATTTTAACCAGTCCCCTCAATTTAGCTGGGTATCTACCAAACCATCATGAACACCCACAAAATCAGCCTGAGATGTAAGATATATATCTTGATCTCTACAAGCAGAAAAACACCACCTGTCCCAAAGTATGAAAGGAGGAATCGTGAATCTGTGGGCAGATATCAGAAGATAAGCAGAAGGGCGAGGGATCTGCCATAAGCTGGCCCCTGGAAAGTGATATGACACCAGAGTGCAAGAGCATACCACAAGGGGGTGGGGCTATAACTCGCAGAATGGTAATGCCAGGAATGGCTTTATAACAGCATTCAAACATGATCCAGGAGTTGTGGGGGCACGCTCGTGAACCCAGGACTGCCTGTGGTTTCAGAAGTACCAAGGGCAGAGACAAGTGGGGCTCATGGATCAACCACTGAGAAGGTTGCTGTAGACGCGCACCACTTGTGATAGCTTCGTTTTTCAGCGGCACTTAACAGAAACGGAGACTGTGTTCTGGAGGGTTCAGAATGAGCAGACTGTGATTTCTCTGCTCTAGGACAGAGGTGGTCTGGGTACAGCCATTTTTTCTGACCCTCAGAATAGGCTCAGAAAGCTGCCAGAGAACAAAAGCTCAAAAAACTAGTTTGCACGGAGCCCAGCACCAGAGCAAATCTCAGAACCAAGAAAGATTCCAGAGAGCAGCTGGGGGGAAGTGATTTCTTAGGTACAAAGGGAGGAACATGAGAATAACATCAGATCTGTCCACAGAGATCTAGCAAGCCAGAAAGGGCTGGTAAGACATATACAGGGTACTAATTGAGAAGAACATGCAGCCAAAAATACTTTATCCAGCAAAGCTGTCATTTAAAATGGATGGAGAGATGCAGAGCTTCCAA